TGGGGATGGTGGTCTTTTTAGTGGGGAAGGTGGTCCTTTCGGTGGGGGCCACAGGTTTCCCTGTGGGGATGGTGAATATTTCAGTGGGGACGGTGGGTGTTTCCTCAGGGGCCACAAGTTTCTCTGTGCAGACAGGGGTTTCAGGAGGGCCAGTGCAGGTAACGGCAGGTTTGGAAGGAGGCGCTACTGAGGCAGGTCCTGCAAAGAAAATAAATCCCTGGAGTTTAGTCAGAATCGTACCACCCCGCCCTTGACTCACATCTAATTGGAATGGGTGCGCTCAAAGCAGTAACTCATTCACACCTCTGCTTCTCCCTCCCGCCCCAGCCTCCACTCAGGTAACACTGACCAACACCATTCCTAACATATGTCCGATCTTGCGCCGGGCACAGGAAACAAATAACAAATAGGATATCAGCCTTCCCTTCGGGATCACCATTCACTAGGTGAGGGGTCTGACCCCAGAAGTCCACGGCATCAAAGTCCCACTCACTCAAGCAAGCATTCTGATGGGGCTGGGAAGGTACGGGTGGGCAGAATATAGGAAACAAAGCTGCGTGAGGACTCGACACAAAAGAGGACTTGCATTTTAAGCAGCTCACGCAGAGAAGCCCAAGAGATGGTCATCCTGGAGCATGGCCCCCTTTCCGGGACCTGGGGTTTTGTCTTACCTTGACAGGTCCCGTGACTGATCAAGATGAAACCCAGAGCAACAATGAAGGCGGTGCTGGTGCCCCTCTCGGCCTCAAACATCAGCTGAAGGTACGAGGGAGAAAGAAGCAAGAGAGAAATGAAAGTGAATCCCTGTCAACTCAGCGACTCTCCGGGCAGAGGGTCTGTCCTCTGCTAAGATGTCGCCTTGTTCTGGCCTCAACAGTGCAACGGGGGCCCGGGCCCCTTCCAGGAGCCAGAGAGCCTCACAGGGAACACAGAGCACCCTCTGCTCTGCTGTTTTTCCAGTGTTGCATCCTCTCAGCCCTGGTTGTGCTCCCTGATCCCAGGCGTTATGTCCCCCTCACCTGGCCTCACAGTGACACTTAAAGAGCGACTCTCTCTGTCTCTCACCTGCATGGGCTGTTGATGTCCCGAAGGGACGGTGATGGAGACGTTCAGCCAGTCAGCGCTTTGAGACCCAACTCTTTCCCAGAGAGGAGTTGGGGAGCTGTCCGCAGGGCTCCCCAGCAGAAGCCTGAGCTTCGTCCCATTTCCGAGGCCATACATGTGGTAGGTAAACTCCACACAGATCGCACCCGGGGCACAGAAGGTCCGGCTCGTCAGTCTGAAAGACTGGCCTGCCTGGGAGAACTTGTCGGCCTCAAGGTAGACAAAGTGACCCTCTGGGCAAAAGAAGGGAACAGGCAAGGTGAGAAACCTGCAGAGGACAAGTCTGGTGCTTTCTTGAGCGACATCTTGCTTTCCAAATGGGGATCTGATGCAAACACCCAAACTCCCCACATTGCAGTGGGGTGTTGTTTGTTTGTTTTGTTTTCGTCTCTGCTCATTTTAGACTTCTAACTAAGAAGGTGGGATCAGAGAGAAAGGGAAAACCAAGCCAGCAACCCAGATTCCTTTGTTGGCTGCACCAGTCAATGTCTTGACTGAAAATGACCCAGTGGATTTTGAGGCCTTGGGCTCAATGAAGCACTATACCTGGATCTTCTGGGGGTTTCAAGTGACCCCAGAACCACGAGAATCCTCAGCTCACTCTACCTCTGTGGCCTCCACGGCTCTGGCCCCATGGCGGCTTCCCAGGAAACACCCACTGGCTGACCCTCACCGCCTATACCTTGCGTCAATCATACCAGTCCACCCCCTCGCTGGGAGCAGATTCAGTAACTCGTTGGCTTGAGGGGTCCTCCATCTCCTCACCTCCATTAAGGGAGGCTCCCGAGGGGCCTGTACCCTGGATGAGCGTGTTTTTACTTCCCTGGGTCCAGTGTCCGCCATCCTGCAATGCCTGGACCCAGTCACAGAAGGGATGGGCCTCATCTTCAAAGTCACACTGAGGAAAGCTCTCTGGGGGATCAAAATGGGAGATGGGAGAAATCTGGGCCATGCTCTCTATTCCTCCCCCATCCCCAACCCCCATTCTCAGAGCTGCTCTCACCCCCGCAGGGAGCAATGCTGATTGCATCCACCGCCACCACTGGCTCTGGGATCTCTCCAAACACGCCCACCACGGTGAACTGAAGAGAGAGGGAGAAGGGGCCGGGAGTGAGCAAACAGCCCAAATGTTCAGCCCCCTCCATTTGAGTTTACTCTCTTCAGGGACCCAGGCACCCGGCTTCCAGGGCCCAGATCTTCAGTCCTTGTCAATAACAGGTGCGCCTGCCACGTCCAAGGAGACCTGACACCTCCTGCTCCTCTGTACCTGAATCTGTCCCTGGCCTGTGTAATTGACAGAAACGGGCTGCCAGTTGGGTCCGGGTTGTCCTGAAAAGAGTGTGTGTTTCCGGCGGCTGCCTACAATGGAAGGAACCCAAGAGAGCAGTGAGATGACTGGGGGCTGGAAAATGACTTCAAACCTATACTCAGAAGGATGAGTAGCAGAGGGACCACTTGGAGTGGATTCCCCTCCCCGACGTGCAAGCACGTCCTTCTCTCTCTCACTCTCCTGGCGTTTTTATCTATTTTTCCAGAACCCTGTGCCTTCCGCTCCCAAATTCCACTCCGCAGAATCATCTTGCAAGTATCCCAGGTTTCCCCAGACCCCAAGAGATGCCCCCACGTTTCCTCGTCAACCCAACCCTGGGAGAAGAGCCTCAGGACAGTGTAAATGCCATGACGTTGTCACTCTCACCCAAGTCGGAAGCATAGACCGTGAGGGCTGCGCCAGGAGACTGGCCGCGTAGGGTGTAGTGAAAGGACAGGCTCAGGCAGCCGAAGGACTGGAGCACAGGGCTCAGGAGGGCAGAGCTCTGCCTCGGTTTTGCATTCTTGGGGTCCAGGAGCATGTAGAAGCCGCCTGGGAAGGAAAAGGCCAGTAAAGTGGGGGATGGCACAGGGATAGGGGCTGCGAGGGCAAGGAGCCTGGCCCTGGGGAGCCCTAACAGTTGCCTAGGATCAGCCGGCGCTGAGATGGGCCTAAACCCATCACACGACTGGCTGAGGCCTTGGTTCCTTCCAGAAGTGCTTGGCAGGTCTCGGTGAGGACGCGGGCGCCGCCCAAGAAACGCGGCATCCTCTCAGAAGCAGCCAGAATCCTGTCCTTTGGATTCAGACTTTTGAGGTCCCCCCACAGTCACATCCTCTTCCTTTTCTTAACCCACTAGACATAGCTGCTTCACGCAAAGTGGTGAGAGTCCCGATCTGATGCGGACCGGCAGGGATTTCCCGCCCCCTGCCGCCAGCTCACGCAGCCAATCAGCCTGGACCTCGCTCCGTGACGCAACTGGTAGCCGTGGGAAGGAGGGGGGAATTAAAGAGGCCTCCGACCGCGCGCACGCACGTGCCGGACGCCCCACGGGGTTCTGCCTGGAGAGTGAAACCCGGAAAGGTGGCCTTCTGAAAGGGAGAGAAGACGGCTGAAGAGGAGGGAGTGGGCAGAAGTGAGAGAGAAAAGAAAGGAGCCAACAGGGAAGAAGGAGGGAAAGAGTAAAATGGTGAAAGAACGCAACAAGTGTCCATGCTGGGACGTCTGAGAAATGGAAAAGGAGATGCGGGAGAGAAAGAGGAAAGATGGAAAAACATAAGGAAGGGAGCAAGGTGGAAAAAGGAAGAGAGAGAAAATGGAAACAAACAAACAAACAAACAAACCCAACAACGTTTACTGAAACTGCTGGGCACGGGATTTGGTGCTAAATCTAAGGGGAATGCAGAGATGGGCTGGCCCTGCCCTGTTCTCCAGGGGCTTAGAATGAACGTGGGCTGGGGTTTTCACCAGGTCTTTCTAGAAAGCAAACCTCAGGCAGCAGGAAAGATCAGAGGAAGGAGAGCAAGGATTTGGGGGGAGGGAAGGATGGAGAAGAATGGCCTCTGTCCTTGCCCCATCCCTTCAGTGGATTCTCATACAAAAAAACCCAGGTGATCCTTTTAAACGTAAGTCAGATAAGGTCACTCCTCTGCTCCAAATCCTGCAAAGGCTCCCCATCCACATAGAATAAAAGCCACAATCAGTCCTGACAATGGTCTGCCCCTCCTAGGACCCGTCTGAGCTCATTCTCTCCATCCCAGCCACGAGGCTCCTTGCTGCACTTCAACACCCACCCCCCAAGCCACTGCTACCTCAGGGTCTTTGCATGGCTGGCCCCTCTGCTTAGAATGTTCTTCCCCTCGATAATTTTGTGCCTCACTCCCTCACCTCCTAAAAGTTTGTGCTCAAATGTGACCTGTCTGAGATCTACTCTTGACCACCCTATTTAAAACTTACAACCCACCCTACCCTGCTCTCCCGATCCCCTTACTTTGTTCAATTTTTTTTTTTTTCCTGATAGCACTGGTCATCTTAAAGCTTATATAATTACTTCTTTATTGTTTCAGGAACTCCTCCTTGTCCCCCACCATCCTCTGTCTGTTTTGTAAGCTGATGCATCTCAACGGCCTGGGACTTGGCATATTGTAGGTGCTCAATAAATATTTGTTGGATGAATGAAGAAGGAAGGAAAAAAAAAAAAAAAAAGAAGGAAGGGTGTCAGGGAAAAGAGGTGAGGAGTCGGCTGTGTTGGGTCTACCGGCTGTAGGGCTTTTGGGGTGGCAGTGGGGGAAGCTGGCTGGGTGCTTAGAATCTGTTTTCTGTCCTGTAACTTAAGCTGATGGAGGTCTGAGCTCGCTGACTTTCGCCCCAGGCCATCCCAAGAGAGTTACTGTAGGGTGGTCAGGCAAGCATCGTAAACTCCCGCAAAGGTCACTAGAAGCTCAGAAAGTCAAAGGACGGAAGAAGCATGGCCATTACTCACTACCAGGGCTAGAGAAGTCATCCTCAGGCCCCACGTTCGGCACCCCTGTTGACCCCTTCTTCTGGACCCACTTGGCCCCAGAGGCCGTCGGGATCCAGCTCCAGCCACAGAGATCATTTGGAGTGTCAAAACTGCACGTTTGCGTCTTGCAGACTGAGGGAAAAGGAAAGAGGAAGGATTTAGCTTTTTCTAAGGGGAGGCAGCTCAGAAAAGTATGCCTCAAACACAACATTGTTAATCAACTATACTCCAATATAAGATAAAAATTTTTAAAAAAAGAAAAGTATGCCTCAGTCTGGAGTCAGAACTCTTGAGTCTCAGCCTGGGTCCTAATGTGAGCCACGGCCGGCTTGCAAGCCAGATATGGACTTGCTCCCCCGTGGCTGTGTTCCTGGCACAGATTACTTAGGCTGCCCAAACCTCAGTTTCCCCATCGATAAACTGGGAACAACAGCACTGGCCTGTTGTAAGTTACACCCCGTGTGGGAGCATCTCGCACAGTTCCTGTGCTCAGTAAGTGTTGGCTCCTTGCATGCAACTTCTGGAATGTCCCTTCCCTTGAATTCGCTCCCCTCAAATCTCTAACATCAGCCTAGAGTGCTAATTCTGGATAGATCTGGGGTAACAGCCAGGTTGACCAAATGTCCAGGTTTGCCAGAGACTGAGGGGTTTCCTGAGATGCAGCACTTCTGTGCTAAAAGAGGGACCGCCCAGGGCAAATCAGAATGGCTGGTCACTCTAGGACAGGTGTCACCACAATTCTGGGTTCCAGAAGAACGTCTCTTTAGATGTGGCTGCTTCAGGGGTCAAAGGTGTGGGGTGTGGAGGTAAAGGGAAGCAAGTCGCCCCAGCTCTGGAAGAAACCATGGTCTCAGTCCCTGAGCTACTCCTGCCACCTGGGCAGATGTATAGGCGTGGGGGGAAGAGGAGGAGGGACAGGGGCTCACCCCGACTGCAGGAGCCCCGACGGATAGAGATGGCATCCAGAGCGATGTCCAGATAAGCCGTGCTGCCCCTGACTCCTTCAAATGTCAGCTGCGGGAGGGAGGGGGGATCACCCACGCTGTGAGCCCCTTTGCCTCGGGCTCCCACTTTCCTGCCTGAATTCAGGTGGCCCAGCCCCCGTGCCCCTCCTTGTCCCAGCCCAGCCCCTCCTGGACCCCCCACAGCCAGAGTCCCACTGGGACCCCAGGCCGTGTCTTCGGCCTCACCCGACTGGGCAGGATGCGCCCAATGGGCACCGTGACGGCGGTGGGTATCCAGGAGGGGCTCTGGGTGTTCCTGTGTTTCCAGAGCACGTTGGGGCGCTTGCCCTTGGGGTCCGTGGTCAACAGCAGCTTGAGCTGGGCGCCCCACGACGGCCCGAACATGTAGTAGGCGAAGCGCACGCAGAGGAGGCCTTGCTCCCATACGGGGGGGCTGCGCAGGCGCGCCACCCCGCCCGGGCGGAAGGTGTTGGAGTCCATGTGCAGGTAGTAGCCCTCTGGGGGAGGCAGAGCCAGGGATGGTGAGGCCCTGCCGCCCTCCTTCCCAGAGCCCGGGTATCACTTCCGGCCGCCTCCCTGCACCCAGAACCACCAGTGTCCACCTCCCAGATGCCTCCCTAAACCTTCGGCTTCCTCACTTCCATTGGGGTACCCGCCGGGGGGCGCGGTGCTGCTGGTGGGGGAGGGCTCACTGGCCCGAGTCCAGGCCCCGTCATCTTTAGACACTTGGCTCCAATCACAGAGGGGTTTGGAGTCATCCTCAAAATCACACTGGGTGAGAACGGCTGGGAAGAAAGGGCCACTGTGAGGCCAGGAGAGGGCAGAGGGGAGGGGGTCGGCTGCAGAGCCAGTGGGGCTGGGGGGGGGGGGGAGAGGGGGGGGGGAGGGAAGCAGAAAAGGGTTGCAAGGTGGCCACTAAGATTTAGGGTCCAGAGCAGAGATTTGGGAAAGGGAAGCTGAGAAATAAGTCTTCTCTTAGGAGAAATTCAGGGCTGGGGTCGGTGAGGGGCAGAATGACTAGGTCAGGGGTTGCAAACGGAGGTCGCAGTCAGGCAGGCTTGTCTGGGAAGCATACATTTGTTGTTGTTCATTTGAATGTGGATGTTTCAGGCAGGACTTGTACTCTACTCCTCCCCGGTTCCCTCCCCGCTCCATCCTCTGAGGGCTGCCCTTCACACATTTATTACATATTTATGTCATCACCCTGCCTGAGGGCACCTGGGGTGGCCACCCCTGGGAGGGACTGAGCAGCCCCGGCTTCCAACTCACAGTTTTCCCTCGAGCTGTGAGAGACCGGCTTCCAGTCCAGAGGCTTCTCTTTCCTTGGCATTGATTTGGAGACAGAGAGAAAAAAAAAATGTGATCCTCGTCGTTACCAAGAACTGTTAAGCCTCCAGGACTGTGAGCTTTCTGGAGGATCGTTCCTTTCTTTTTATCCATATTGTATCAACGTGTATGCAGTGACATATATTTACTTGAAGGTTTTCAAAAAGGTCACTCACAGCCTTCTCACCTTAAGCTGTCATCTGTCTCCTAGAAAGCATCTCCCCTCCAAGTTCCTCACATCCCCACTGGTCCCTCCACCCCTCTATGCCCTGGATGTCACGCGGGGTTCTCTCGCATGAGTAAGAACCAGTTTCTTTGTACGGGAATTCTCACGCAGCGCCTAAGCGTTTGGCCCTGAGCAATCTCCTTCCTTCAGGTCGAGCTCTTCCTGTGCTATAGCCCAAGTTTTCCCCACAGAGTAGGGACTGTATGGGTCCCACGTTGCCAGGTAGGTGTCAGGGATGGTATTGCCCCAACTGAACACACAGATGAGCAACACCTTAGAAATTCCACAGAGAAGCCAGCTGCCCTTTTCCAGGTGGTATGGGCCACTAGAACAGCCCTTTGTTTTAGTAGTTCAAGTCCTGCTCGTTCAAATCCCCTCAAACAAGCTCCAGGACACCAAGCCACCCATTATTTCTTGCTGCTTCCTACTTGCTGTCTGTCTGTCCGCTGGGTCTGCTCTGGGTGTTGTCCTTTTTCTGAGGGCCCGACCTCTCTCTCCTCCCCTGCCATGCTCAGACCTGTCTCCCCGGCTCTGCACCTCCTTCCTCTCTCCTCGCCCTTCAGCTCTGTCCTGCTCGCACTGAGCTGCTCACGCATCTCAGGTCCAGGCTTGTGGGCTGCGGGGCTCCACCCATTCCTGTTCAGCATCCTTCTCACACCCATCACTCCCACCTTCCTTACCAGGGCCGTGCCCTTCATCGCTAGCCCACTTGCCCCTTCCAGCTTCGCCCCTCGCTCTTCCTCAGAGCCACCCCCAGCTGCCCCCTGAGCCCAGCTTACCGGGCAGGGGTAGGCATGAGGCCCTGGCCCCAGGCAGCCCCCAGCAGCAGCAGCAGAGTCCAGACTGGAGGAGCCATGCGGGACCTCAGAAGCAGCTCTCAGGGGAGAGGAGAAAGGCGGAGTGAGGGGCCCAGGCCACCTTATTCACCCCCACCCCTCCTCACTTGGCACCCTCCTGAGGATGCCATGAACACTGGACAGAGAACACAAGAAAGCTCTGGGAAATGAAAACTGTGAGCGCTGAAATTTAAAAGCCAGTAGAAGAGTTATACATTGAAATCAAGAGAAATCAAAATGAGAGCAAGAGAGAAGGAAAGGAAGAAAGAAAGGAGAGACTTGGAGGGTTGGTCCAGGAAGCCTAACATTCAACCAGAAGGGTTCAAAAAAGAAAGAACAAAGGAAAAGAAATTACTTAAGAAAAACCACAGAAGAAGATTTCCCGGAACAGATGTAGGAGCCTCTTGATTAAAAGGGGTCTGGTACGATGAATGCAGAGAGACCCATGAAAGGCACGTCATGAAATTTCAGAACATCAGGGCTGAAGAGAAGATCCTAAACACTTTCAGACAGAAGAAAGCAGGTCACGTACTAAGGATCAGGAATCAGCGTGACACGGGACTTTTCACTAGCAACCACGGATTCTATGAGGCAGTGGAACATTGTCTGCAGAATTCCAACAGAAAACCATTTCAAACCTAAAGTGCTATAGCTAGCAACAGTATCCAAGGCGACGGAAAGATGGAGTAAAGTGAGGACTGAAAATGCTTCTTGGCAAAGAATTGAAAAAGACAAGTCACAGAGGAGGACCTGCAAGCAGCCAGTATACGTTGGAAAAGATGTTCTGCTTCTGGGACTTCCCTGGTGGTGCAGTGGTTAAGACTCCACGCTCCCAATGCAGGGGGCCCGGGTTTGATCCCTGGTCAGGGAACTAGATCCCACATGAGTGCCACAACTAAGAGTTTGCATGCCACAACTAAGGAGCAGGTGAGCCACAATTAAGGAGCCCACATACGGCAACTAAGGAGCCAGCAAGCCACAAGTAAGACCTGACACAACCAAATAAAAATAAATAAATAAATATGAAATAAAAAAATTTTTAAATGTTCTGCTTCTGTTATAAGAAACGAAATGCTAATCAAAACTACAACTTTCATGTTGACAACAATTTAAAAGATTGAAGCATTGAGTGTTGGCCAGAATGCAGGTAGACACACTAAAATACATTGATGCTAAGACTGCATGTTGGTGAAAACGTCTTAGAAGATAATTTGACAATGTGACCGTTTAACTTTCAAATGTGCTTATCTTTGACCCAGCGATACCTTTGTAGGAATCTTCCCACATAAATACGTGCGTATTTTCACAAAGATGTACATACCTTAAAGACGTTAATTGCAGCATCATTTACAATAGGAAAAGAAATCGAGGTTACCTAAATGTTTGCCAGGAGTTGTGTGTTTGGATCGTATTCAAGGAATATTATTTATACAAAGGAATATTATACAGGTATTAAAAAGAATGGCACTCCTCAAAAAATTGACAGTAGAATTACCATATTGCCCAGCAATTCCACTTCTGGGTATATGCCCAAAAGAATTGAAAGCAGGGACTTGAACAGATACTTGTACACCTATGTTTATAGTGGCGTTACCAAAATAGCCGAAAGGTGACAGCAACCCAAGGGCCCATAGACAGATGAGTTTTTTTTTTTACTGAGATGTAGTTGATTTACAATGTTGTGTTAATTTCATATGCACGTGTTTTGAGTAGAGGTGTAGAGGTGGAACTAGGACACACAGACAGCTGTTCATGGTGGCTCCCTCCGGGAGGGGGTGGCCGGGCTCTCCATGCATTCTGCATACTTATGCGCACGACAAGGATGTTTCCAGGCCTTCCTGTGTAACGGGTGTGGTTCATTATAGGGACCTTAGTGAAAGTCATTTGAGGAGCCTGGTTGGGAGGAAATCAGACTGGAGGGTTCAAGGAGGGAGCGGAAGTTGAAGAAGGAATCCCACCAGGAGGGGACAGCGTTTTGGGGCTGTTTGGCCATCTAGAGGGGACTCGGAGGGCAGGTGCTGAAGTTAGGACGAGGTAAGGTCTTTTCAAAATAAGAGAAATTTGAGCCTGTATAAATACTCATGGGAAGGTGGGTGGGAAGAGTTCAGAACGAAAACAGCAGGAGGGGCAAAAGCCAGCTCTGTGATGGGAGGCGGTGGGGGGATGCACCATGCCGGTGCACATCTAGCGGCTTCCGTTTTATCTGTGAAGTGGCAGGTGAATGGAGAAGGTTCTGCTGGCAAGAAGGTCACAGGAGTGCCCCTCCCAGGCAAGCTCCCTGGTGGTGCTGCCCACAGCCAGCAAGTCCCTACCTCCCAGCCCTGCCAATGCTAGCCCTCCCTCCGCTGCCCACCCCTTCCCACCTTCTGCCAGGCTCGACAGCTGTATCAATGTGCATTCCTGGGGCTGGACAGATAAGTGCTTTGCTACGGAGTGGAGCGTGGAAAAGGAATCCGTGACTCAGGTCACTGATGACAGGAAGGGAAGGGAGCTGGTTGGGGAAGGCTTTTGGCAAGAGGTGACACCCGAGGGGCTTTCTGAAGTATCAAGAGGGACTTCCATGGTGGTCCAGCGGTTAGACGCTGAGCTTCCGCTGCAGGGGGGCGCAGGTTCGATCCCTGGTCGGGGAACTAAGATCCCCCATGCCACGCGGTGTGGCCAAAAAAAAAATACCAAGAGATGGTAACTAGGCAAAGAAGTTGGGAAGGCATATTCCAGGAAGAGGGAATGTTCAAGCTTAGAGGGAGCATGACACTTGGAGGATAGCTGAGCGTGTGTGTGTGTGTGTGTGTGTGTGTGTGTGTGTGTGTGTGTGCGTGTGTGTGTGTGTATATTCAGGGGCCCTGTCTTGGAGGACCTTGAATGCCATAGCTTTGTGGAGCCACCAAAATTTTGAAGCAGTGGGTGTGACTTGATTCCACTTGCGTTTTCAAAAGGCTACTCCAGCATCCCCAGGTGGGTATGGATGAAGGAGGGGCTGGGCAGAGCTAGGGAGATGGGAAAGGAAGTTGTGGAAGGTGAGAGATGGGAGGGGCCGATGGACACTGATGTCAAGGTAGTGGGAGTGGGGGATGCAAGTGGATTGAGATCTTTCCAGGAGCCGCAAACAGCAATTCTTGCCGGCTCACCTAACTGAATCTCATGTTCTCCCTCTTTCTTAAAAAAATGTATTTTATTGAAGTATAGTTGATTTACAATGTTGTGTTAATCTGCTGTACAGCAAAGTGATTCAGTTGTACATATATATATACTTTTTCATATTCTTTTCCATTATGGTTTTTCACAGGCTATTGAATATAGTTCCCTGTGCTATACAGTAGAACCTTGTTGTTTATCCATCCTATATATAATAGTTTGCATCTGCTACTTCCAAACTCCCACTCCATTCCTCCCCCAGCCCCCTCCCCCTTGGCAACCACAAGTCTGTTCTCTATATCTGTGAGTCTGTTTCATTTGTTTTTGTTTCATAGATAAGTTCATTTGTGTCAAATTTCAGATTCTACATATAAATGATATCATATGGTATTTGCCTTTCTTTCTTTTTTAAAAAATATTTATTTATTTAGCTGCACCGGGTCTTTAGTTGTGGCATGCGGGATCTTTTAGTTGCGGCATGCAGGATCTAGTTCCCTGACCAGAGATTGAACCCAGGCCCCCTGCCTTGGAGTCTTAACCACTGGACCACCAGAGAAGTCCCTGTCTTTCTCTTTCTGACTTACTTCACTTGGCATGATAATCTCTAGGTCCATCCATGTTGCTGCAAATGGCATTATTTCGTTATTTTTTATGGCTGAGTAGTATTCCATTGTATATATGTACCACATCTTCTTTATTCATTCATCTGTCGGTGGACATTTAAGTGCTTTCCATGTCTTGGCTATTGTGAATAATGCTGCTATGAACATAGGAGTGCATGTATCTTTTTGAATTATAGTTTTGTCCAGATATATGCCCAGGAGTGGGATTGCTGGATCATACAGCAACTCTATTTTTAGTTTTTTTTGGTTTTTTTTTTTTTTGCGGTACGCGGGCCTCTCACTGTTGTGGCCTCTCCCGTTGCGGAGCAACAGGCTCCGGACGCGCAGGCTCAGCGGCCATGGCTCACGGACCCAGCCGCTCCGCGGCATGTGGGATCTTCCCGGAACGGGGCACGAACCCATGTCCCCTGCATCGGCAGGCGGACTCTCAACCACTGCGCCACCAGGGAAGCCCTATTTTTAGTTTTTTGAGGAACCTCCATACTGTTTTCCATAGTGGCTGCACAGGTGTACGTTCCACCAACAGTGTAGGAGGGTTCCCTTTTCTCCCCATCCTCTCCAGCATTTGCTATTTGTAGATTTTTTTGATGATGGCCATTCTGACCAGTGTGAGGTGATACCTCATTGTAATTTTGATTTGCATTTCTCTAATAATTAGCTATGTTGAGCATATTTTCATGTGCCTGTTTCACGTGCCAATCTCATGTTCTCTTCATCGCAAAATTCTTGTCCTCATTTCCTGCATGTGGAAACTGAGCTCTAGAGAAATGATGTCAGTTGCCCAGCAGAAGGGCATGGTGCTGACGGTCCCTACGAGGTGTCCTGCCAAGTCCCATGGTTCCCTGAAGTGCATCTAAATGAGGCCAGGGTTCCATCCCAGCCAGAGCAGATCTGCCTTTGTCAGTTTCATCAATAGCAAGTCTACATGAGAATGCAGCTAAGAGGGTGGTTTTGCCGCTTCTTAAAAACAGCATTGACGCTTGCTCATGGCTCTATCTTGGCTGGTGGGCTGGCCTGGCAGCAAGATGAACTATCGTGAATCCAGAGTTCCTGTATCCCACGCCCAGGTGTTCCTAGAAATCTTCAGTTTCATTCCCTTTACTTTGGCAGCCCCCATCCCTACTGTCAAATCTATGCCCAGGGTGCCTGGCCTTGGCCCCTGACATGTGACAGGGTTGCCTGGGCCAGCCATTCTCATGAGCTGTCAGGGAGGGGCCGGTGCTGTCATGCCCCAGGTGTTGGAGCGGGAAGTCCCAACCCCCTTCGGAGTCCTGGGCGCTCCTTCTGCCCAAGTGAGCACCCACAGAGCCCACGGAGGGGGTCAATCCCGAAAAAGAGAGATCCTCTGCCCCTTTATATCAAAGCTGGGGGTGTAAAGGATGTCCAGCCCAAACCCCGATCTCCCCTTCCTCCAGAGCAGGTTAGGAGAGCATTCAACAAAGGGACAAAGCCAGGAAAGGGTTAACCCAGGGAAAAGCAGCAGAAGCCAATTGATCCCCAGCCCCTCCAGGTTAGGCAATAAGTCCTCTGAGGGCTGCTCTCGCTGACCTCCCTCTGGCGCCGCAGAGCTGGACGGTCACAGCTTCCAGCCTGTCTGGTGGTGGGGGGTTGGTGCTCAGGCAGGACAGGAAGGAATGTGGTGTGGGAGGGAACCACGGGCTCTGCCTTTTGGGGAGTCCAGAACGGGCAAGGCCCCAGAGGCTTTGTCACCTGACAAGACTGACAGGAATAGGTGTGAGGGACCCTGGGATGTGGAAGAAACTGGGAATCACTCCAGGAAGCTGCAGCCAGTCCAGGCTTCCCTGTGTGTCCTTGGACACTTTGCTCATCTGCTCTGGGCTTCAGTTTCCTCATCTGTAAGATGGAGAGACCAGCACAGCTAAGGTTTTTTAAAAACCAGAAATTGTGTGTGTGTGGTATAATTTTTTTAATAACTCATTTTTTAGAATCGAGGAGGGAGTTTATAGACATTTGGGCATGACTCACGTAGGCTGGGAAACCATCCTGCTATCTGTTTTTCTGTTGCCAATAATCTTTTATAATGTCACAGTTTTATGATGGAATTTTAAGAGGAATGAGCCTTGACCAGCTGGAAATAATGTAGCTAACATTCAGCCTGGATTCCAGTGTCTGAGAGGCCTCATTTAGCTAACTCAGCTCTAGCGACAATCACCTACTGTGGGAGACCAGTAGACTGAGTAGTTCCAGGAGAATCCCAGGTGGCCTGGAGGCTGGGGTCAGGCAGATGCATTGGTCAGCCTGATGCTCAGGCCCAGGAAGACCGTTTGGGCCAGTGGTACCCAGAGCCAAGAGGCTGCAGTCGAGGTGGGAGCTGGCGCTGCAGGAGGCAGATGAGGTGGGCCCCAGTGCTGGGAGATTTGGTGGTGGGGAGGGTGATAGGCACTTTCTGCCTTTCCAGGGAGGAAGTGGGCACCAGGGGCAGGGGATGGAGCGGGAAAGAGCTGGTAGCGAGAAATGGATGGGACTCATGCCTCTCTGACTGAAGCTGTTTCCTCCCCTCTGTCCACTCCCTCTGCTTTCTCTTCTCCCCATGATCCTTGCTTCTAGTAGAAGAGGGACCCAGAGTCCAAGAGCCTGGCTCCTGGTCCCGACACGTCCTCTCAGTGTCTTACGACCTGGGCCAGACCCATTCATAATCTCTCCAGATCTCGGTTTCCTCCTCTGCAAAACGGGGATCCTCTCCTGTCTCTGCCTTCCTCATGGGGTTAGGAGAGCAAATGTGAGACTGCCCGGGAAAGCACCTTGGAAATCGCAAAGCACTCTACAAACAGAATGCGTCTCCATGAAACAGTTATGTAACCCGCTGACTCAGAACCGGGCTGAGCTGGCTCCTGTCCCACCCGGAAGTCGGAAGAGCTGGCTTGGTCACTTACCTGGAGGAACTTAGTTTTACTTTCCCTGTCTGACAAAAGAGGATGATGCCCTACTGTCCTCCTTTTTTCATGGAGTGATGGTGAGAATCAGAGCAGATCGTCTAAGTGCCAGAGATTAATATGTTGTTAATCATCGTAACAGTGGTGCAGAAGAAACTTTACACCCCTGGTCCGCACTTGAAGAACCTGGGAAATCTGGCAACGCCCTCCTTGCATATCTGTGTCTCTTCGCAGAGACTGTGGGTGTCACCAGGTTCTTCCCATCCAGGCCTCTCAGCGCCGCCCCCCCCCAGGACCCAGTCACATGCCAAGCTGGCTCTGTCTACGCCTACATTCATGAGCACCTGTCTTTTTGCCACCAGGACTGCCCGCTCTAGGAGGACACTGGGCTGTGAGTGGCACAGACCGTCTTTCCAAGTTTCCTAGCATTTAGTGCAAAGGCTGGAACACGGTAGGCACTCCGTAAATGTGGAATAAAGTATTTTTTTTAATATATTTCTTTTATTTACTAAATCAGAGTTTCTAAAACTGTTCCATCTGTCCTGTAAGATGTTCCACGAAAAAGAAAAGGACTCCTGTCTAAAAGTTCATGAAATAGGAAACCCTATTCCTTCCTTAGAGATTTATCAAGCCCACTAGCACACTAAAGTCTGTGAGAAGTCCTGTAGTCGAAAAAGTGATTTAATTTTTTTGTTTAACATCTTTATTGCAGTATAATTGCTTTACTAAAGTATGTTTTAAAATTACGTTCTTAACCTACTCGCCCATCACACCTGACCCAGGTCATATACTCCAGGTTCTGTTAACTCCTTTTTTTTTTTTTTTTCTTTAATTGAAAGCAGTAAGAAGTCTGAAACGAAGTCGAGGAATAAGGTCAGGAGGAAAAAAGATCCAGGGGATGTTTAGGCAGCACATTAGGCTGAAAGGTGGACAGGACTTTGGGGTTATGAGTTCTAAATCTCAAGTTCAGGTCCCAGCTGTAACTTACTAGCTGGATTCCCTGGGCTTCAGGACAAGTCTCTTAGCTTCAGTTTTGCCAGCGAGAAAGAGAGATTCCTTCTTTCCTGATTCACAGCGTTGGAGCAAGAACCGGATGGCATGTGTGGAAATCATAACACGAATTTTTATCGAAATGCACAAGGTCAGAGTCCTCAGGGTTCTATAGCTTGTAGATTACTCTAGCATTTCCCAAGAGGGCCTGAAGAGGGCACTGTAGCCCAGAAGCAGGGTTGGCCAGAGTGAAAATTCTCCTTGGGTCCTGCCCTTGGCTGACTCCTCCCACCACAAGTTCACCCCTACCCTCTCACACACATATACTTGGCAAATACCTTCCAACCCCCCAACCTGCCCATATTCTTCCTGCCGCAAATTGCAAAACATTCCCTGCTTTGTGCATATTTGCCAGGGTGCAGGCTGACTTCTCCGTTTTGTGATATAAGTGAAAGACCGATCCCCCCATCCATGTACGATAATGGCCAGGATCGGGGGTTCCCGCACAGTTCTGTGACAGCTTCTGCTATCTGCACAGGTCTCTCTCGGGCGTTACTTTGCAGCTGAAACATTATTTCTGGGAAGGAATTTGAAATTGATTGTCAGGGGAAAGGGTAAAATTAGAAGTACGAATTCCCTGGCGGTCCAATGGTTAAGACTCTGCTTCCACTGCAGAGGACACGGGTTAGATCCCTGGTTGGGGGACTAAGGTCCCGCATGCGGTGTGGCCAAAAAAAAAAAAGAGAAAGAAGCAAGTAGGGATCAAGTGTGGAGTTGGAGTGAGTTTGTCCCATGTCCCCCATCCCAGGGGAGCTGGGAGGGCTCATGTGGCAGAAATAAGAAGAAGAGGGAAGGGGCTGAGTGCTGGGAGGATGGGGGATCCTGTCATCTTGGCCTCGGGCAAGGTACTTTACTTCTTCATCTGTACCATGGGAATGACTGCAGGGCCATTCTCCCAGGGCTGTGTGAGGAGTAAAATGAGGTCACATAAGTGAACTACCTGCAGTAGCTCTGGGCAGAGTGATTGATCAACGAGATGGTTGTCTGGGAAGTTGGCTCCCACTGTACCCCACTCTACTACTGCCCCTTTGGCAAGTTTCAGGGTAAAGCATTCATGGTAACCATCCCCAGGCAAGGAAAGTGCCACTGGATTTAGAGGGGGCTTGTGTGCTGAGGTGGCAAAGGCTGGTGCTGGGCTTGTGGCATTAGAAGAAGCGGCCACAGAGAAGAGGGTCCAGCAGGGAGCACGGGCAGCTGCCGCCAGCCCCCAAAGGGGCCCCTCCTGCTGGCTCCTGTGTCCTTGCCAGCAGCCGAGGCTCACTAAAGACATCAGCCTGGGGACTTCCCTGGCGGTCCAGTGGTTAGGATTCCGTGCTCTCACTGCCGGGGCCCAGGTTCCATCCCTGGTTGGGGAACTAAGATCCCACAAGCCGTGCGATTCAGCCAAAAAAAAAAAAAAGACTTATCCTGGGCCAGATGCCTACTGAGGACTAGCCTTGAATGGAGCCACGTTATTGACCAGCGCGGGCAGAGCTTGTGGCCTCAGGCCCAGTGGGGTCAACAGGTCAGACGGGCCATGCGAGGCAGCACGTAGGGCCCGGCCCCCTCCACCTCTGGTTTCCCGGACCTGCAGCCTGCTGCCAGGATGGGGGCAGAGCCAGGGAAGTAGGGGTCTCCCGGGAAAACAGAAAAGCCAAGAGCCAGGTTGCGGTTTCAGTTCTTGCCAGTGAGATTGAAAAATACACAAGACTTGGACCCAGTGAGAGCCGGGAGCAGCCCCCATCCCATCTTCACGGCTCCCACCACCCTCCTTATCCAGCGGGCTCTGCTGTCACGGAGTCCCCATGAGACCCGGAGAATTCATGGCTTGCCCCCTAAATTCTCCAGTCCGTCCTGTCCCTGCTTGCTAGGTGCAAAAGGAATTATTTGCCGTCCAGCTTGTCCCAGCATCACGCAGCATCGCAGTTCTGCAAGGCACTGAGATGAGTATCAGTGTCTCCCCGGCATGGCGCTGTCCCCAAGTTTAAGTTGAACTCTCTGAATTCCTCCTGCTTTGGAGACTCAGGCTGACCCTGTGACATCCTTAGATCTGAGTTGAGCTCTGAACAGTTCCTCTAGCCCCTGAGATATCACCGCTGGCCCTGGAGTGTCCGTGGGACAGTCTGGCGCTGAGCTGATGGCCCATCGACAGGGGTTGGGAGTGGAGGTGCAGAAGGCGTGGCACAGGCAGTGGTGGTGAGCGAGGTGGTGGACGTGCCCGGGGTGGGAGCACCGGGTCACCTGTCCCCTCTCCTGCAGGCCTCCCCTGTGTACAGCGTCAGCTTTCCCCGCAGGAAATTGGAGTAGATTCGGAAAAGTTTGCACAGAGTATCAACAGTGAACGTTCGGAGCGGGGCTGCAGAGGAGGCTGCGTTTGGAAGGGGGACGGCTCCCTTCTGCCAAGGAGAGAACAGGAGGTTACCAGTGGGGACCCCGGCAGGAGAGGGAACTTGGGACAGAATTGCAGCAGGGATTCCTTGGCGGGGCCATTCTCCCATTTCACAGAAAGGGCAAACACAAGTGCGAGGGAAGGTCCTACCCGTACCTGGGCTCCCAGTGCCCGAAGCAGGGAGGTGAGACTTCGCAGGCCGCTAACAGCTTTGTCCACGTGCAGCTGCAGGGCCTCGGATGTCTGGGACGAGTTGGCCAACAGGGCCTGGCCCTGCAGGATGGCTTCTGAGAGCAGGGCCAGGCCCTGCCAGACTTCCACAGCCTGCTGCTGGACCTAAAGGGAGTGGAGACTTGGAGTTAGCTGGCCCAAGCCAGCCCCGCCCTCCTCCCTCTCGGCAGCCCCAAGCAAACAGTTTTGTTGAATGAATGAATGAATGAACAAATGAATAAATGAATGAACATATTCCATTCAGCCCTCATCTTTGCTGCTCTGTTTCTTCTCTCTATCATTCTCCTTCCTGCCCTAGGAGGTTCCCAAAATGAGACTCCCCAAGAGGAAGGAAAAAGTGAACTCACCTCCATCCTCTTCCAAGCATAGAAGTTAACCTTGGTGTCCGGGACAGTGATGTTCTCACTGAAGCTGCAGCCCTCAGCACAGCCCAGCTGAAATGCACAAGCCTGGAGTCAGGGGCCCCAGGGGCTCCTGCTGGCTTCGCCCCTTACCTAGCTTCCAGGTGTGCACTGGGGACTACCACTCTTATTACTTTTACTGGGGGCTCTGGCTCCCCGCTTCCACCCCTGAACCAAGTGCCGGGGGGGGGTCCAGGTTCCTGGATCTTGGGGGAGACCCTGGACCCCTGAGGGTGAGTTCTGTGGAAGGTCCTGGGGAGGGGGCCTCACCGTGGCATTTTCGGCCTCCCTGGCCTCCAGGATGTACCTCTCCAGGACTCGGCTGTCACAGATGAGGTGTGGGGGGGCGCCCAGGACTGGGAGGCCCAGAGGAAGCAGCAGCAAGGACAGCAGAAGCAGCAGAAGACATTCTAGGAGAGAGAGCTGGGCTGAGTGTGAGGCCGGGACTTGCAGGAGAAGGGGTGGTTTGGACCTGCACGTTCACCCATCCCGCTGCTCTGGCCCCGCGAGTCCTCCCGACCCGAACCTTGCGAGCGCTCAGGCTCTGCCTCCTTTGCCTTCATTCAATCCCGCGGCCGCGTGCACACCCCACCCCCCAGCTACCGGCATCCACTTCTCCCGGCCAAACTTCAATCCCGGTGTGACAGAGGCTTCCCCTCTCGCAGATCCGAGTTGTTGCTCCCAGACCCAGGTATCAGCTCCCTCGGCACCCACGTAGCCGCCCCTCTTCTCCCTGGACCCCCAGTCCTCCATCGCGTCTCCAGCTCAGATTCCGACTTTCCCGGGGACTCCCCCAGCCCGGCCGGCAGGTGAAGGCTGCCCCATCCCCCTTGCCCTTCCGGGGTCCTTGGCAAGTCGCAGGTCCTTGAACCCGGCCACCCCGGGGCCAACAGCCCCAGTGGTAAATTCCTCCTCAAACAGGGGCCGGGCGGGCGGGCGCTCCCGCGGCCGGGAGTACTCACCGCGCACCCCCATCTCCGCGCCTCGCCCGGCCCCTCAGCGACCTGGGGCTCGGCGGGTGCCCGCGCCGGGGGCCCGCATCCCGGGAAGCTCGGCGGGGCAGAGCCACCCCGCCGCCCGAAGGAGGGGGCCGCCGTCCGGGGCGCCGAGCCGGGGTCGGGGCAGAGCGCGCAGGGCCCGGGGCCAGGGTCCGGAGGACGGCGCGGCGAGGCGGCCGGCCGGGGTTGGCCCGGGGACTGTTGGCCCGGGGAACTGCGGCGGCGGCCGGGGGTCGGGGCTGTTATCAGCTGTGTGCGTGCGTGTGGGGGGTTGGGGGGGGGCTGTGTGCGTGAGGGGTCGCGGGAGGGGGGGGCCGGAGGGGTCAGAGCCGGGGGCAGGACACCTGGGTCGGGGGCTCGCCGGGGCGGGAGCCGAGCTGCCGCCCCGTCGTCGGACCCCAGGGTCTCGGGAGGGGCGGCTGGGTGCGCGCAGCGGGACGGGCAGAAGGCTGCGCTGCGAGAGCAGTGCCATTCTGGGAAAGGCTGGGGACCCCGACGTCCCCCCAGGGAAGGGGGCGTCCCAGTCTTGGGCGGGGACTAGGAGCTGGGGCTGTCTGGGTTCCTGCGAGGCAGCTAGGGCTGGAAGCCCGGAAGGTGCCTGCGGGGCGAGTCAGTGGCCTCCTCCTCACGATCCTAGTTCTTGTTCTAGAAACCAGTGTTCTTGTTGAGAAATTTAACGGGGCCGCACAAAGCAAGAAACCTGAGGGGGTCTTCTCCCCCACTCCGCACTTTTGAAGACCCCGAAAACCCAGAAATTGAACTTTTAGGTTAGACTGCATGGTAAAATTCTTAGGAACTCTGAAATAGAGTGAACCCCCAGAGTGATGGCCCTTGGGATTTGCAGCTAAGCCTTTGTGGCTTCTAGGAAGCCCTGAGGCAGCGGGGGAGCTCCCGGGGTGGGGGTGGGGGGCAGGAGTCCAAGGCTAGCTGGCTTATCAAACCTTGGAAAGTGGCCTGAGTCCCTGAGCCTCAGTGCTCTCACCTGTCAAATGGGCCTCATGAAAGCACCAGTGCCAGCTCATGCAGCTTTCATAATAGACAGGGAAGTCCTACAAACACTGGCGGTTATTTATACGTTCATTCACTCCCTCCCCAGTCCCATGGTATTAGAGATACTTTATTCATGCGTTCAGTGCCTTCTTTGTGCAAGACAATTGACTAAGAACTTTTCAGGACAAAAAGGTGTTTTGAGCCCTAAGTCCTGCCTCCTGGAGTTTGTAGTTTACAATAGAGATAAGGTGGGGACACGGAACTGTGCACGAGGACTGGAGTGTGCGGATCCGAGCTGTGAGAGTTTGGAAGAGGGGGAGCTCACCTCTAGCTGGGAAATCAAGGAAGATTTGATGCAGGAGGTGACAACAAGCTCAGCCTTGAAGGGTGGGTAAGATTTCAATGGGAAAAGATGTGAGGTGGGTGCAGAGGCCGGTCCAGCCAAGTGCTTGGTGGGTCAGGTGTGTTGGGGCGAAAGGTGGGGTGGGGGAGGGAGAGGTGGAGATCAGACTAGGGTGGCGGTTAGGGAGAGGTCAGGTTGTGAAGGGCCTTGAATGCCCCTCTGAAGAATTTGGAGTTTGTTTGGAAAGATGGGAAGTATTCATTCATTCATTCATTCAAGAAATATACATATAAGAGTACCTACTCTTGGCCAGAGACCTGGGGATAGAGCAGTGAATGAAACAGACAAGAATGCCTGCCCCGGTGGAGCTGACATTCTAGTGGAGAGATGGATGATAAACACAGAGAATGAATAAAAGATAGAGGAGCTCCAATGGCTAAAAGAACTAAAAAGGCCCAGGAGTGTTGGAGGAGGTGGCAATTTTCGATGAAGCAGGCAGGGATGCCTGCTGAGAGGTGACAGAGGTGAGGGAGGGAGATAAGGGGTGGGGGGAGGAGCCTGATCAAAGAGGGGTTCAGAAAGATGAATGCGAGGGGTGGGGAGGCAGAGGCTTGTGGGAACTAACGAGGGCCCGAGTCACTCCCCTGCCCTCCGCTCACTGCGAGCCTGCTCTCGGGGTCCTCCCCGAACCTGGTGTGCGGCTGCTGTGGCTCTGCACACCTCACTACTTCCTCTGGTCCCCGTTTCCTCCTCAGCACCCAGGCAGCCTCCCAGCCCCACTTGGCCCTCAGAGCCCAGCTCTGGGACAAGATCCCAGCTGTGGGACAAGCACACGCACACTCACGTCCACACACGTCCGCACATGCGTTCTGTCCCGACCCACAGCACACCCCCCAGCCTCTGCTCTCTGGGTCCCCTGACTCCTGCGTCACTGCCCTGACCTGACCATGGAGAGGGGCCGGGGACAGATCGGGGGTGGGGGGGAGTAGACACAGCCGGAGGAGAGGAGGAGCCGTTCGGGCTGTGGGACCTGCTTCTGCCCTCACACCGGTTTGTCAGAGGTCCCCAGGCCCCTGCCTTCGAGAAAGGGAGATGGGCCCTGAGCACCCAGCCCCTAGCTGCTGGGGCCTGCTGGACAGGGGTGATGCTGGCTCATCCGCTGGGGCTTTGGGAGAGAGAACTGCGATGCAGCCTGGGAGAGAGGGCAGAGTAGAGGATCTCAGCTCACCCTGCACCCAATCCCTAAGCTGTAGTAATCCTACCAAGAGGGCAGAGGCTGGTTTAGGAGCCAACTTCAACCCAGGTGCTTGTGGATACTGCCCAGTAGGGTCCATGCATCCAGCCTTGACAGCAGGGGCCCCTGAGGAGCAGGAAGCTACCCAGGGCTCTCCCTCCGATGCCCACCACCCCCCTGCCAGTGCCCCTCCATCTGCCTGTTTGTATTTCTCTGGCACGGGGCTGGACCAGTGCCAGGACCACCACGGAGGGTCTCCGCACCATCCCCTCCAGTTATCCCCAGCCCTGCCACTAGAGCAACTTTCCCACTGAATAGCTCGTTCGTGGCATTCCCCAGAGCAGGAGCCTGCAGCGGTTCCCGGTTGCCTCTGAACTAAGACCCTCTGTGCTCTGCCATCCACCTACCTTTCCAGCCTGTTCTCCCACTTTGCTCACTCCCACTCGCCTGCATCACGTGAGCTCAGTTAGATGGTTTGCTGCTTCCTGCCCTTCGCTCACTATGTGCCTTCCACCTGGATCACCCTCCCCCTCCCACTATGGCTCTCAAAAGCCCAAACCCAAGCATTACCTCCTCTATGAAGCCTTCCCTGATACCCCAGCAGGAAGCTGTCTCCCTGCTCTGGGCTGCCATCCTTTATGTACACGTCTTAGGCCTCTCCTGACTGGGCCACCATATACAGCTGTCACGGTTGAGCACTGCACAACTCCAGGGGGCGCCATTCATATCGACCCTGATGAGAACGGTACTCTCTGGAGTCATGCAGCACAGGTGCTCTGTTAACCGGAGGAGAGAGCAAAGGACAGTGTAGGCAGGTCTTGTTCACCTGGGTGGCACTGGGCACCCAGCATGTTGCCTGTTTATGGGCTTCCCTCAAGTGTGGTTTGCATTGTGTGGTCCCTCCACTCCAGACACCTCAGCCAGAGAATGGGAGACCTAGAGGGAGGAAGTGAGCTCCTCATCCTCTGAATGCTTGCTGGAGCCATGCCTGGACAACCTAGCTCTGGGTTCGTGGGGGCCTCAGAGGCCTCCATCTACTTCCTGAGCAGGCAGCCCCCCGAGGCGGGGTCTGAACCAGAGGATGGCGGGGGTGGAGGCAGGCTCTGTTCCATGGAGTCTTCCTGGCAGCCAATTGAGACTGAAAATCCAAGAAGCAAATTTACAGCCCCCTGAGCTCTCGCAGACCCCCAGGCAGCACGAAGTCCCAGCTGCCTGGAGTCATGTTGGGGACGAGGGGGGCCTCTGGACTTCTCCTCCCTCCTCCTTTCCAAGCAGTGGCTTCTCAGCTGGGCTCGGGAGTTCAGCCAGCAGCCCAAAAGACCTTCTGTGCTGGGAAGTGAGGTGGCCGGGACCTTGGAGGGTGCGGTGGGGGAGGGCTTCCTGGCGCTTGGGGAACTGGGAAGGGAGTGAGGACTTGGAGAAGGGATTCCTGCCAGACAGCAAAAGGAAGTCCTGTGCGAAGGTCACTTTGGAGAAACTGAGGGAAGTTCTGCTTACTTGGCCACAGAGTAGCCAGTAGAACCAGACATCCGGGTTTCTGTTCTCAGCGAGCAGCTCTGTGGCTTCAGCAGGCTAATGGGGCTTGTCTGGCAAACAGGGGAGCCCAGATTGGAGGCCTGAGCTGTGCCACTAGCACCTGACGTGGACAAGTGACTTTACGTCTGAGCCTGGGGATGGTAAAAAACTCTAGTAATCGCTTGCCAGGGCTGTCGTGTGATTATGTAATGCCCGGCACAGGGTAATCAATAAATGCTAGCCATTATCACGGCGCCCTCTGCTTTGCTGTGGCTGCTACCTGGCTTTGGAGGCCTGGAGACCAAATCTGCAGCATGTTCGTCAGCCCTCCTCCGGCGTCCTCCACTGCTCCCTCTGGGGAGCTGGGCGTGGGTTCACGACACCTTATCTCCGGTGTTGTACCTTTACCAAACAACTCACTGGTAAAGGTCATGGGGATAGTGGGGTGCGGATGGAGGTACCGCCGGGTGTACACATCCACTGCTCTTTGCAGAAACTTGGCACTGAACAAAACTGAGTGAAATGGCATCACTGTGGGAGCTGGGGGGTGGCAGGGGGTGAAGACACAGATATCAAGACAAGTCTCACACTTAGTTTATTCAAAGCCTGGGGCCAAACAGGGGTTTCTTGTCCCATTAACATGGGTCTCCTCCCAAGGGAGGCCCGGAGAAGTCCCAAGGACGTTGGACTGAATGAGGCCTGAAGCATTACCAGGCCAGCTTCCTTGGTTACTTGTCTCTTGCCTCTCCTCCAGTGCTTGAGTCCTTGAAGGAGGGCGCCCAAAGCACCAAGACCTCCACCTTGGGATCCAGAAACACTTCCCCAGGTTAGGTTTCTATGAAGTGTCAACCCCATCTTAGGATCTCTTGCTCACAAGTATGGCTGGATATTCCCAAGCTTCTTCCCATGGCACCCATCCTTTATCAGAAGACAGAGCTGCTAAGTTGGTCAGAGTAGCTTTCCTGTCCATGCAAAAATAAAACTAGAAAATCCTAACTTAAAACACTACTGGCCATATCAACGAGAGTAATGTCTTTCTCCCATGTAAGATCTTTGCAGGGGTGCAGTCGTGAACACAAAAGTTTCATTTTGTTAACATGGGGCTTAAGGATTTTGCATGAACTCTATTTTTTTTAATTTTATT